CATACAATGTCCGTATAAAGTCATTTGATTTCATGTAAAAGACGAAAACATAAACTAACGTGTTTCTTCATTAACGCTCAGTAACTGAGCAGCACTGGGCTTTTATTTTGAAGGCATCAGAGGAAGCCTTACCTGTTCGTTCAGTGTGGGTGGACCCGCCCTAGCTGGCATCAAACCTGTGAACTCTCCAGATCAGATCCAGACTCAGAACCTCCAGGATCCAGACTCAGGATCCAGACTCAGACCCAGGACCCAGCACCATGGCGGGCATCGCCTCCACACTGCAGAAGCGCCGGGACCATGACCGGGGCATCGGGACCCACAGCCAGGCGCTGAGGTACCTGAACCAGGACTACGAGTCTCTGCGGCAGCAGTGCTTCGAGTCCGGACACTTGTTCCAGGACGAGTCGTTCCCGGCTCTGCCCTCCTCCCTGGGCTTCAAGGAACTGGGCGCTGGATCCTACAAGACCCGGGGGGTGACCTGGAAGAGACCGACGGTCAGTTGATCCTAAAGTAAAACTCTATCTTCTTCTGCTGAGTATTTAAGAATTATTCAAACCTCCTTCTACACGTTTGTTCAAATAAATAAAGTGCAAATAAATAAATCCAGTTCTTTTAGAGTTTGAAGTTTTGATCAGAGATAGAATCAGATCAGATAAATGAAATCATCTGTAAACACCTGTTTCCTGTTTGAAGAGGACTCAGGTGAGTGGTGACAGGTTTATCAGGTTAACATGGGGGAGGGGGGGAGGAGGGGGGAGAGAGAGAGAGAGAGGGGGGGGATATATGAAATATAGAATTATTCCCGTTTTATATAAAACCTATAGATTGAATCGTGTTCGACTCGGAGTCACTGAACCAGACTTTCTTCTTTAACCTGAGTTGTTGAACCAGTGTGGTGGAACAGGCTCCGCCCTCAGGACTGACCTCAGGATTTGAATCTCGTGAATAATCAACTTGTTGAAATTCAACTTTAGTTTGATAAAAACAGTGTAGGTTTTTTCAGCCCTGGGTTCTGTCTGCAGGTTCCTGCGTCAGGTACAACAGGCCCCTCCAGGACTTGATGAACTGTTGTGTGTCTCTTTCTGTGCAGGAGCTGACCTCTGACCCCGAGTTCATCGTGTCTGGAGCGTCCAGGACCGACATCTGTCAGGGAGCTCTGGGTGAGAACGTAGATCTGATCTCAGCCTCTCGACATCTTAGTGATGACATCGTTTCAAAGACAGTTTAGAGGGTCAGGGGTCAGGGGTCAGGGGTCAGGTCAGTGATGTCCTCACAGCTTCAGAAAAACAAACGTGTGAGTGTGATGAGACTCAAAATGATCTGATTGGTTGATCAGCTGTTTAAGTGATTGAAGATGAATCAGTCGATAGTGATGAGGGATGTGTTCACTGTCATCAGGTGTGTGAGTCGTGTGTAGTTTACTGTGAAGACCTGATTACAGACGTTACCTTGACTTGACCAAACTACGAGGGGAGTCTGAGGAAAACTGACACTGAAATGTCGGACTCTGCTCGATGCACTTGAATGTCTCTATGACGAGTACGGTCAACAAAGAGCTGGAAACTTCCACTGAGGTGTGTGTGTGTGTGTGTGTGTGTGTGTGTGTGTGTGTGTGTGTGTGTGTGTGTGTGTGTTGACAGTTGCAGTGAGGGCGTTGGCATTGGCGGTGTGTTGCCTTGACAACTGAAACTGTAAACAAACGATGTTTCTCCTTCAGAGGGAAACAGGAAGCACAGTGTAGCCAATCACAGAACAGGTCACTGAACGATTCCTTTCAGATGGTTTAACACTGATGGTGTGTTCAATGTTTAATGACGTCTGTGTTCTAACAGCTCATGAACAGGAGAAACCAAACTCCCATGATCCTTTTCACAGCCTCTGTGTTCTGCCAGAGCTTTTAGCCCCGCCTCTTGTCTGTCTGTCATCCAGGTGACTGCTGGCTGCTCGCCGCCATCGCCTCTCTGACTCTGAACGAGGAAGTTCTGGCTCGAGTAGTTCCACACGGACAGAGCTTCCAAGAGGGAGAGTATGCTGGAATCTTCCACTTCCAGGTACATAAGTACACACAACTGTGAAAAGTAAAAGTACTCAGGATATAAGTACTCAGGATACAAGTACTCAGATATAAGTACTCAGGATACAAGTACTCAGATACAAGTACTCAGGATACAGATCGGATGGTGTTTGAACTGTTTAGTGGTTGTTGGTACAAAGACATGTTGACGGCTCTGAAACCAGAACCTGATCCTTACGAGTCCTGTTTCTGTGTATGTGTGTGTTCAGTTCTGGCAGTTCGGGGAGTGGGTGGACGTGGTGATTGACGACCGTCTGCCCGTCAAAGACGACGAGCTGATGTTCGTCCACTCGGCGGAGGGGAGGGAGTTCTGGAGCGCTCTGCTGGAGAAGGCCTACGCCAAGTAAGTAAAGGAGTCTGGAGATTAGCTGAGGTCTGATGACGTCCCTTCCAGTCGCTCTGCTCGGCTCTGAATCTTTTTATAGAGACATCATCATCACATTCACATCCATCCATTGACTTCTGCTGTTTACCGCCATCTGATCCAACTCACCACCAGGTGGTGATCAGTCGGTTCTACTCTCGTGACCCGAGTGTCATGAACAGGCCTCAGATGTGATTTCTGATACGACCACAAGGTCAATCACTGATTGTTTGCCTAAGGTGTTCAGGTACCAAGTACACTTATGACCCACCTTACGTTCACACACGGTGTTTGTCCAATAAGAAGACACCAGATCCAGATCAGGCTCCTCCAGGTTACTCAGTTGTCTTCAAGTGGATCCCTCTCAGTCTTTAATACACACAGCAGCACTTGGCCTGGGACTTGTGAGTTCCCCACTCCCACCTGGCGTCTATCACCCGGGGCCGACAAGTGGATTGTTGTTCCTCACACGGCAGCTCAGGCTCCTCCCCGACAAGAAGGGCGACATTCCACGTCTGGAGAGCTAGTCTGCGATGTCGAGGGGGGGGCTCCCACCTCTACCCTCCCCCGCAAATCATCACAAAAAAATTAGATCTGAAAATAAAACATCACAGAGAAAAAGATGCTGATCACTCGTTCACCTGTTCAGGTGTGAGTTACTACATGTCGTCCAACCCCCGCCCTGCAATCTTTACATTTAATTATAGAGGGAGAGTCAGAGAGAACCACACCCTCCTGCACACACACACACACACACACACACACACAC